CCAAGGACACAACGTCGGGCCCTTGACAGGATTCGAACCCACGACCTTACGGTTGCGAGTCCGAGAGCCTAACCACTAGGCCACCGACGCCACGTATATTGTTTATCATTACATTGTTTACTCATTTTATCCGTATTTTGGTATATTACTATTGTTTAATCTAAGTTAACGAAAGCATATGATCAATGTCTTCAAACAAAAGATAAATAAGATAATAAATCGGTCGCTTTTAAGCAAAAGGGGGCTATCCCGAAAAATGCTGTGTTGAGAAAATCGAAGGCAAAGTTTTTGCCCCTTGTTCAGTTTCTTCAAAAGACAAGGAGAGTTTACTCTATAACTAATTAATGAATATACACACCAATGAAACCAAAGTCTTCCTATAGGTAGGGCAATGCCCATTTTTGGTATAGGTCAAGATTTCTGGAAACCCCCGAAGTATGGGTTAGCCCGCTTGTCCTTAAAAGCGACCAATTATGTTCTTATGTTATATTTCTTCTCTCACCTTATCTTACTACAGCCTACCCCCTCCGCATCGCCCATCTCCTTTTCTCTTTCCAACCTTTTTATTTTTGTTTCGTACATTCTCTCACAGTGCGACAATGGATCTACCAGACATGCACAGAGTTCGGGTATTACCAGACCTCCGATTCATCACACCAACCTTTCGGGCACGGATTCTCTTTACCGTGAGTACACTTTGACTGAAATACTTACCGTGAGTACACCCTGACTGGAATACTTGCCATGAGTACACTTTGAGAAAATACCTACCCCGAGTACGCATTGCCTCAAATACTTACCTTGAGTACACACTAACTGAAAAAATTTTCGTGAGTACACTTTGACTGAAATACTTGCTGTGAGTATTGTTTGTCCTTCGCTTTTGAAGATAACCATGACTTCACAAATTGGTCTGTTGACGGTGACTGTGGGTCCGGGGATGGCGGGTTAGGTCTATCCAGGCTCGGAAGGTTCGTCGGCAGTGTGGGCACGGGAAGTCGTCTGTTGTACTTGTGGTGGAGGCAGGTCTAGAGTACCGTGTACACTGACTGAAATACTTACCGTGAGTGCATTTTGAAAAAAATACCTACCGTGAGTACGCATTGGCTGAAATACTCACCGTGAGTATACACTGAATGAAATTGCCTGCAGTGAGTAAACAGGCTTTTTGCTGTCGCGGGAAGAAGGCCCGAGTTCTATTCCCGTGTGGGACGTTGTACATGTATCATCTCATCTCGGGCTAGCCCTAACAAGCAAGGTCGAAGCCTGCCTCCTAAATGATCTCAAATGTTTCGACGGGGGCGTAAAAAGACACTTAGATCCAACAAATTGTTACCGTGAATACACACAGACACGAAGACTTTCTGTGGGTACACAAAGACACTTAGACGTACGCACAGACACGAAGGTTTACTGTGAGTACACACAGACACAAAGGTTTACCGTGAGTACACATAGACACAAAGATTAACCGTGATTACGCTGACAATTAGACGTACCACGAGTACACTCTGGCACAAAGACTTTCTGTGTATACACAGAAACACTTAGACGTACGGTACAATGAGTACACATAGACACGGAGGTTTACCGTGCACAGACACGAAGACTTACTGTGGGCACACACAGAGTTCGGAGACTTGACGTGAGTACACACAGACACGAAGACTTACCGTGAGTACACACCAGAGGTACACACAGACACGAAGACTTACCGTGAGTACACACAGACACGAAGACTTACCGTGAGTACACACAGACACGAAGACTTACCGTGAGTACACACAGACACGAAGACTTACCGTGAGTACACACCAGAGGTACACACAGACACGAAGACTTACTGTGGGCACACACAGAGTTCGGAGACTTGACGTGAGTATACACAGACACAAAGACTCCGGTGATCTCAATTATGTTGATGGGGGCATTAAAACACTTACATTAGAGATTAAAAATCTAGAAAAATCGGTATACCCAGTGCATAGTGCAAAACGATTTCCTTCGAATTGAATAGGTGTCAGCGATGTTTTCTCTGTGGAGGGAAAAAGCTACCATTTTAGCACAATTTGATCAAATCCTGAGACAGCAAGCCTTAATGGAAAAAAATCCCTCAGGTCATAAAAAAATTTGTAAATGTTTGGGTTTTTTTGTTGGTTTTTGTTGTTTGTTTGTTTTTGGGTTTTTTAACAAAAAATGTACAAAGAAAAGAAAATCTCACTCTGGCAGAAGTCACAAACCACGTTTTTTGTTCTCCAGATATTTCATCAAGCAGTGCACTGACATCTACGGTAATCAGTTCAACAAGACACTTGTGAGTCGTGATATCGTGAGAAGTAACGAAGACTATGCCGGTCTGGGACCCAAAATGTCTCGCGTCGTGTTCCCCAACGGCTCGATAGACCCATGGCATGCCCTGGGAATCTTGAAGGACATCGGGCCTGACGCTAAGGCCATATTCATTAACGGTTGGTTTATAATGTAGTGGTGTGGTTTAGTGTGTGTTTGTGTGTATGTTAGGGGGAGGGAGGTGTGTCTGTTTGCTTTTGGGGTGGGGAGTGGGGAGTGGATGTTCAGTTATGTGTGTGTGTTTGTAGGGGGATGGGGTGGTTGTGAGGGTATTATGGTGTATGCACGTATGTGCGTAATTACGTGTGTACATATGTACATGTACATAATATGTATGTATGTATGTATGTATGTATGTATGTATGTATGTATGTATGTATGTATTTATGTATGTATGTATGTATGTATGTATGTTTGTATGTATGTTTGTATGTTTGTAGGTAGGTAGGTAGGTTGGTAGGTAGGTAGGTTGATAGGTAGGTAGGTTGTTAGGTAGGTAGGTAGGTACGCATGTAGGTATGTATGTAGGTATGTATGTAGGTACGTACGTACGTGTGTATGTGTGTATGCATGTATGTATACGTTGGAATGTATGTATGTATGTATGTATGTATGTATGTATGTATGTATGTATGTATGTATGTATGTATGTATGTATGTATGTATGTATGTATGTATGTATGTC